TCACTTAGCTTGAACCTTTGGTTTCCTAACGGTTCTGTGTTCAGGGGGAGAATCATCAATAAGGGAGGCTGCAGTATTATTTTCCTTGTTTTCTTTTATTCAGCAACTGTTACTCTTCAGGTGGTTGCTCTAATTTCCATTTCAGAAGGGTTTGGTATGAGTACTGAGGTCCTTTTTCTGGCTGATGCAGCAAAACATGTAATTGCTCTTAAACCTTTGTACAATGATCTCCTCTACATAGAGAAGCACTGACAGGACAGTTTTAAACTTTGCACAGCAAATTAATTCCTTCCTTTTGCTCAGAAAGTACCTTAGGTTTCTCATACGAACATTGGATTGTTATTGGTCTTTTCTATCTCTTTTTCTTTTTAATTGTTTCTTTTTCTTTGCATATCTGGATTATTTTGACATGTTTTGATAAAATGCAGTAATGAGTAGAGTTGCTTTGAATTTACATCAGTATAGTGCAGTTGCAAAATGTAATGAAATCAATGTTGCATGATTCAAAAAGGAACATAAGGAATGAAAAATCATGGTGATATGTCTATGGAGTGATGTTAGCATAAAGCAATACTCCAGTGTCAAAGACTATCTTCATCATAGAAGAAGGTGCTATTGATTTTTTTTTTTTTCTTTTCTTTTTTTTCCCCCCTGAATTAAACATTGTAATCCAGACTTCCCGGTTGTCCCAGTAAGTGTTACTCTGGGTAAATCGGATATTTAATGGGACACTGATTTGTCTTACTGGAAACCCAAATGAGCTTAAGAAAGCATTAATTATTCATTAATTTTCATTTAAGCTGATCTTGTAAGCAAGAGTGGAAGTCTCAACCTGTCTTGTCTTGAAAAGTTCTGTATATATCTCATGTTATACACCTTTACATGGCTCACCTTTATGTATCTCATGTATGTTCATTAATAAAGAAAAAAAAAGGTCTTCAGGCAGTGCCCAGCAGCATTGGAAGTTAAAAATGTTATAAAGCAACCTGAAACTTTGGAAAAGTTTTATTGATGATCTCTTGTAATTAGTCTCTGTAAAACTGTAAAGACTGTGACAACTTCGACTTCTACAGGTACTGTAGCTTTCATAGTTAATCTTGAAAAGTGCTGAAGGAATAAAAATAAGACTAAATAGTCAAAGAAATTGTTGCACCTGTTTGATCTGTATGCCTGCTTCCAGCATCCCTTTGTTCAAGTGTAGACGTTGCACTAGTTTAACCAGAGCCAGTTTAAAAAACAGTTCATTTGGTAGCCTAGGTACTTTTGATGGAATGACATTTGTTTGGAACTAGATCCATTGTGTTAGTAGGCGTCTGCGCCTTGCTGATGTGAGCTAGACCAGTTCATTGTGTTTAATCTTACATGAAAAGGTCCATGCACCTTGTTATACTGATTGGGCTAAACCGATATAAAAATCACATCTTGACTTAATCTGACATAATTTGTATGTAGACAAGTATCAGTACACATCAGTATACTGGAACTGGTAAATACTTGACTTAACGTTTATATTACACTACCCATGCAGTGAGTATGCGCTTTATGATATGAAGACAATTGTGAGTCCCAGAACTGAACCAAGAATGTGTTGCTCTGGTAGCGTCTCTCCCTCAGAAAGTTGTTAATTTACTTCTTTTAATTTGGAAGGCAGTCGTGGTGTTAATATATTTGGATTTGAAACTTCATTAAAGGCAACGCGGTTCCTCAAGTTAGTGTTTGTCCACTCACACACTTTCCAATGAATGCTGCTTCCAGAAATGTGGCATATGTGACCTTCAGGACTGACTCACTGTCTTATGTGCTTGGTGACTCTTTCCATCCCAGTGCCTGGGAACCTTGTCCCCTGTATTTATTCTCACAGTAGTCACGGTGAGGCTCACAGTGCTGTTACACCTGGTTCACAGTCAGGGACACGCAAGACACAGAGAAACTGAAACATTCATATAATTTCATTTTAAGCTGATAGGTTACAGGCTCAGAGACTTTGCTGGACTTCAGTGTCTGACTTTAGTCCTTTAGAGTTAAGGGCATGCCATCCAAAGAGCCCAGGTATCTGTTGTGGAGCAGGGGTTGGAACCTGGGTTATCCAGATCCTAAATTAATGCCCTGTCACCAATTATACTGGCTGGAGTCTGTTACTGCCTTAGTCACGATCCAGAGTTGCCTTATTGCAACATTGCTGCTGGTGCACGATGCCTGAGAATAGATCTCTAGCATGCAGTTGATGTGAAGAGGGTTGGTGCAGGCAGAGCCCGAAATATTTACTGTGTCAAGATATGAAATGCCTGTAAGGAGATGAGCCTAGCTCCTAGCTCAGGGTTTTCAGACCCAAAGCAGCTCACAATTTACATGTCCAGGAAGCTGGCTGGACTTCAGTCAGAAACATTTAAATAAGCTGCTTGTAAAGGTATTTCTCTTTCTTTTTCTTTAATGCCCTGTTCTGTCCTCACTGGTGACTAAAAGGGTCACTTCTGCCAGAGAAGCCTTGTGTGTATTGCATATATCCAAAGGAAGAAGTTTGCAAGCAGTTCCTTGCAGGAGAGCAAAAGTCAATTACTCAATCTTGACCTACAATGCCAGATTGAGGCCAGTAAGACAAGCACCATGATTAGCTTCACTTAAGAGATCAGCCTGGAAATAGCAACTAGCAGTATTTGTATTCATTAAAATGGCTGTGAAGGCAGAACTGGAGAGAAGTTGCATCATTGGGCCAATCTTGAAAACATTTATTTACTCTCCAGTAAAGAGTAAAAACTTGTCTTTTAGATCAATACCAGAAGATCTGGATGCTGGCACGCAGAATATGTTAGGGTGTCCTCCACATGTGAGTTTGATAGGGCGGAATGTTGCAGGTACAGATTTCACACTGCAGCATTTAAGTGCTAGGAAGCATTTGCCCAAATCCTTGATACAGTTCCTCATTTGATCAACTTTAAACATTCTGTTACCTTTTCTTCAGTTGGCATCAGGCCCGTCTCAGGCTGTCTGGATGTGAGAGGGAATTTTCCTCATAATAATTTAATTTCCTAGCACTTGTCTCTATGTTTGTCTTTTATTTTCTTTTTTCTTATTGCATAAACTGTGTGTTTCCTTGGTTACAAGTTAATACTTAGTAGTCTTGTTTGGAAGAGTAATAACTGCCATTCCAGAAATAGTATTGCATTGCAGACTGTTAGATGAGGTTCACTCAAGGCAAGGCATTTACTGGGCTCATATTTAAATGGAGCTGCTAACTGAAATACTGGTTGGCATTGCCAGCTGCATTCTGTTCACCAGTATGGACTGAATAACTGCTCATGGGAAGCAGTTGAAATGAGGCTACCAGAGGAGGAGGTGTTAAAAACTTCGAGCTTGAGTAGAAGAATTCAGCCATTTTTTTTGAAGACTGGGGAGGGAGGAGGTGGGGGGGACAACAAAGTAGCAGCTGCTGTATTAGTTTGGCTGGACTTAGAGCAGAAATTACCACTTGGAATATTTGTTATCCTCTATTCTTGATGCTGTTACTCCCCTAATCACATATTAGGCTTTTTTATTATTAGTCTTGTATTTAGTCTATATAATGCAGAATGATAGCAGCGTTCTTCGCTAAGGCATTTATAAAGGAGGGGAATATAGAAGGAGTTCATGAAGTGATGGGTCTTTTTCCCCTAGAAATTAATTGAGGAAGCAGAGGGAACCGGCACAGTAAATATGAGCAAGGTATCTACTATGTTGCTGCGGAAGCAGTAACCTGAAAAAAAGCATAGTCCTGGGTGGGGAGATGTCAGGAATTGATCAGGAAAGGAAAAGAGAGCTCTAGAAAACACTGAGATAAAATCATGAAGATGATTCCCAGTGACATTGAGAGTGCTGTAGGTGTATTGGCGCCCAGCGCTTTGCAGGCCGGGAAAAGCAGGACAGGAGTGGTAGGAAGATGGACATGGGTAGAGAGGTACGTTTTCTCAGAAATGTTCTGATGAGCATCACTCGTTTCAGAACAATAGTACAAGGAGGACAACTTTCTACTGCTAGAATGGGATGTGGGAGGGAGATTTGAAGGAACATAGTTTTGTTTGGGAACAGTCTGGGTAACACTTTCCACTTCAGATAGTACAGTTGAGACCCAATCTTGCTCTAGTTTACACCTGTGCATTTCTATTGGGGCCCCAAGCTGCCACAAGACACATCTGAAGAGAAAGTTAAACTTTTTTTATGGTAGCCAAATGTGGAGCAATAAAACTTTTATTATGACAATGAAATACACAATAAAGCTGACACAAACCTTTCTTGTTATTGTCCAAGCTCTGCTCAGGGCTGTGGGATAGCTGATCAATTACCAGTACCTGGAATTTTGTCTCCCTGACTATATTGCAGATGATATGGTCATTTCTGTCTACTCACAATATCTCTAATTTGCATGCACAGAGTTGTTTCTGCTAGAATTAATGGGAGTAGAAACAAATAATGTTGGCTTCTTTTCCAATGTGCTTTCCCTGTGTTAGGTATGTGCTGTAGCAAAATGGAGATGTTTGTATTTTATATTTAATACAGTCATTTGTATGCAAAGTCAGGCTACCTGGTTCATCTGGTTTCCCAAAACATGATTTGGAATTGCTTTCCTTTCATTCTTTTTGCTTGGATTGTATTCTTTCTTGGATTAAAACAGCCCAGTTCTTGTTGCCTTGTGAGCTCATTGAACGGTTTACACACACTCATGTTCTTGGAAAGAAAAGCTTAGGCAGTCTGAAACACTTTGTGGCACTGAAACTGCGGAGGGAATTTTTCTTCGTCTTTCCATGGCAGCCTCAGTGGAAAGAGGTAGTAGTTGATGTGAATTGCTTAAAGTCTACTGGTTTATGAAAAGTCTATGTTAAAAAAAAAAATGGCGGTGACTTTTTAGATGAGCATAAAATGCAAACAGATATGTTTGTATTATGATGAAAAGTGTCTGAGAACACAGATTTATGTACAGGAGAAAATATTTTTTTTGTCTGGGTTTAAATCACATTTTTTTGCTTTACAGTGGCCCATCCTCAGGAGCCTCACCACCCCTCTGACAAGCCGGTCATCCACTGCCACAAATGTGGGGAGCCATGTAAAGGTGAAGTACTCCGTGTTCAGGCCAGACACTTTCACATCAAATGCTTCACCTGCAAAGGTAAGACCTTGACATCCATCTGTAAGAAATGAGTCAATTTGTGCAAATGTGCCTTGAACCAGTGATGAGAGGTCACGCTTCCTGCGGTCAGCCAGTTACAGGATATTCATGTTGCTCAGTATCTGAAGGGTTTGTGGGTGGGGAGGGTAAAGAATGGGGGGTGAAATGGCTGAATTGCACATGTACAAGCAGCAAGGTGATCAGCAGCACACAGAACAAATTCAATATGCCAACATCTCCAATTTAATTGAAAAAGAAAGATTATATGAGACATTTGATTTTATTGGGGGAGGGGATAAATTTGCCACCACTAGAAGACTCAAAATAGCACATTCTGCTCTGAATACTTCTGTGTTCGTTCTTTTTCTTTTCTACTGTTCACTGGATGCAAGCTACACAATAGATAATTATACCTTCAAGAGACGAAAAGAAAATCTTAGCTCTCTTTAATATTATTTTAAAATTTATTTGCTTTGTACAGTTGTATGTAGACAGTCAGTTTCACATATTTCCTGAATAGTGAATTAGGGCAAAATTAGACTCTGGCTGCTTTGGTGAATTTCTTTTCTGTCTATTTGGGAGGCAATGGAACAACACTGAACACCCAAGATGAAGTGCCTTATGGAGCGTCACAAAATATAGGAAGAGAAAGTATAGCCCTAGCAGCCACTCAGAAATCCAGTGTAAATAATTGATTTGGTTTCACATGTTGTGTTGTATGTATTTCCTGTTATTTCCATATATGGGGCGAGCATGTGTTTAGATTGTGTAGTATGATGTGGTAAAAAGGAATATGGCATAAGAATACTTAAGAAAGTTCTGACTTTTTGTAGTTTTTGTTCTAAGTCCTTTTTCAAGGATTTGGATAAATCTGGATTTTTTTAAACTATTAACAGCAACCACTGCCTTTGATTAGAGAGGGTTATGAAAATTATGCTCCTTTTAACTGAATTGATTGCGGAAATTAAGTACCTGCATTCAAAAAAAACCCTGATGGGTACTGACATCCAAGAGAAACACGCAGGGTGGTCACCGAGGGGTATGTGCTGGGGCGAGGGGAGCCTTAGCCACACGCTTTAGGAGAGGTGTCTTCAGCGAGCGAGCGGCGCAGGGGATCGTTACAAGAGGCAACGGAGCTGGTGAAGGGTCTGGAGCACAGGGCTGATGAGGAGCGGCTGAGGGAACTGGGGTTGTTTAGTCTGGAGAAGAGGAGGCTGAGGGGAGACCTTATTGCTCTCTACAACTACCTGAAAGGAGGCTGTGGTGAGGTGGGTGTTGGTCTCTTCTCCCAAGTAGTTAGCGATAGGATGAGAGGAAATGGGCTCAAGCTGCGTCAGGGGAGGTTTCGATTGGATATTAGGAAAATTTTCTTCACCTAAAGGGTAGTCAAGCATTGGAACAGGCTGCCCAGAGAGGTGGTGGAGTCACCATCCCTGGAAGTGTTCAAAAAATGGGTAGATGTGGCACTTGGGGACATGGTTTAGTCTAGTCTGCCCTTGATTGGTTTAGTGTAGACTTGGTAGTGTAGGTTAATGGTTGGACTGGATGATCTTAAAGGGCTTTTCCAACCTAAATGATTCTATGATTCTATAAGAGGGAAAGGAGCAGGAGACAAGGGATATCTCTAGCAGCTGTGCTGACGCTGTCACCCTTGGAAAAAGCTGAGCTGGAGCTTTTAAGATGAGTGGCTGAGAAAATTTTCTTTACTTGCTTTCCTTGTGGTTGGATTTTGCCGAAGTTCAAGAAATAGCAGTATGTGCGCCTACACACACACCATATACGTGTGCATATCTACACATACTTGTGTGTATGCACGCACACTTGCTGGGGGCCTCCCTTTTGCTGGGCCTTCAGTCTGTGGGGCTGGGCCCCCTCTTCCTCTGCCTGTGTGGGCCTCCACCTCTCTCTGGGTCTCCCCTCCCAGGGGCTGGGGTTCTCTGGGCACCCCACTCCTTTGGGCCTGCCCGACTCGCCTTTGGGCCTCCCATTCCCTGCGGGCCCCCCTGACCCCTCAGGTCTCCACCTCCGTGGGACCTTATCCTCTCAGCCTCCCGCTGCCTCAGGCCTCCCTTTTCAGCTCCTGCCTCCCTTTTCAGCTCCTGCTCACTTCATCTCCCATGCTTTTGGGGCTCCCTGACTCTCTGGGCCTCCCCTCTATGGGCTGGGGCTTTCTGGGACTCCCACTTTTATGGAGGCCATCTCTTTTTTTGGAGCCTCATTCACCTGGGGGCTCCACTTGTGAGCCTCCCGCTCACTCTGGGCTTCACTGACTCTTGTTCTCAGCCTCTGAGGGCTTTGAGTCTCTGAGCCTCCCAATTTGGGGGGGGGGGGCTCCAACAATTTTGGGCCCCCCTGCCTCTCTACAAGCCTCCGCTGTGTGAGCCTCCCGCCTTTTCATTGTCTTCCCATGCTTTCAGGCATCCTGCTCTTTTTGGTCTCTGCTTCCCCCCCTCCCCTCATCAGTGGACCTCCCACAGACCCACTCGTCAGTCTTCCATGGTGTGAGTCCCTCCCCTCTCACGGGGCCTCCCCCTCTGTGGCCGCCATGCTCTGTGCCTCTGCCTTCCTTTTGGCCTGGGCCTCGTAATCTTATGGACTCCACTGTGGGAGCCTCACCCACCCTCTGGACCTGCCCCTCACTGGGCCTCCACTCTGAGCCTTGCCCTCGGGTATAAGTATCTCTATATTTCTATAATTGTATTTATATTTGCCTAAAAGCCGTAAGGAAGCTGCACGGCAGGCAGCTGGGTTGCTGCAGAGCTTTGTCTCCTGTCAGGAGAGGCCTCCTGCCAGCCCCAGTTCTGCAGAGGGGTTCTAAGGCTTTGGGTTGTGGAGCCGCCTTGGGAACGGGGCGAGCCCTGACGCTCCTCAGAGTGAGGACCTGGGGGGCCCTCAGCGGCTCCGGCTCCTGCCACTGAGCCCTCTGTGACCACAACAAGGACTTGCTGTGGTTTTTTACAAACAAGAGGTTTAATGAAGCATTAAATAATTGTAAAACTACTCTTCGTGAAATCATCACCTTTGAAGATGGGTGTTCTGAAGCAGGCAGCAGTCCTGACTCCTTCATATGGTTTCTCTTTAATGGGCAATAGTACAGAGTTGGCTGAAAGTAACTCTCTCACCACAGTATGTAGGATGAAAGGTGAGAATATAGAGAAATATATAGGCCCATGTGAAATGAGGGAAGCGTTGCTCCTATACAACTGGCATCTGCTACATTTAGTCCTAGCATAGCACAGGACAGGTACAATGAAAGGCCATCAGGCTTGAGGTGAACGTGGCGGAGCTGGTGGCAAACATGGAGAAAGGTGCTGGAGTAAATCGGAGTAACTAAAACAGAGTAGTGGAATCTATACTGTGGAGGTTTTGGCTTCCTTTAAACCTAAGTTAGCTTTTCTGAAAGTCTGTATCTAGCACACATACTGCAGATCTAGACTTTGAAAAGCGCCTCCAGCCCAGTCCCTGAGTTTCAGTTATATTTTTCATGTTTTAGATGTAGGTGGAATAGTATAGTAGAGTGATTGCTGTAACTCTGTCCTTCTGCTTCCTAAACAGATGGGATATAGCAGAAATTAGAAATATTTGTTTTCCTGTGTTACTAGAGATTTTTTAAAAAAGTCACTTGAATTATTTGCATGCTGAAAAATGAATGGCTAGAATCTGAGATATTCTGTGTTTGTGTTACCTGCAGTTTTTAATTAAATACAACTAGATAGCTCAAAAAATACTTAACTTTCTCCTGGATATTGATGTCTTTCATCTGTTTCAAACTGGGATGGTATCAGCCTCTCATGGGAGGCAGAGAGGAGCACTGTCTGCACTGTTACTGAAGCACTTGGGGTAATGTGTATGTCTGTCTGTCCGTATCACCGTTGCTGTATTTCAGGCAGTATGTGGTGTTATATAATCCCCGAGCAGTTCAAAACCAGCAACAAGTTCTTTCTTTTACTGTTTCTGCCCGTAGTGAGTAGTGGTCTTAATTTACAGAAGACGCTAGATTAGGGTATTTCCAGCAGCAGGCCAGCTGGGACCCTCTGAGTCATGGAGGAGAACGGTAATTCAGGCCAGGCAGCAAACAGATGCCAAGGACCTCCTGAAAAGCAAGGGGGCAGGTGGAACCAAGCTCTGGAATTGTGCTCCTGCTTA